GGCTGGTGCCTGTGGCCCCGGAGGCCTGTGACATTGCCAGTGTGGCCTATATTGGGCCTGGAGGCCTGCAGTGACTGGCAGTCAGGCATCTGTACTCCCTACATACTATCTGGTCGGCTCTAGGTCCTGGAACCCAGGAGATCCTGTGCCTTGTAGTTCCCTGTGCCTTATCTGACCACATAACAGCGGTTGGGCCAGCATCTGGTTCCTTAGCTCCTATTATGTTTAACTACCACAGCTGATATCCATCCCTCACTGCCTCATGTTGAATTTAATTTTTACAATATGTAAATTGTACAATATGGGAATTGACGCCTGATTGCATCTATGTAATTACTTCTTTGCACCGGTATCGGGCATCATAGGTCCCCTGTGGTCATTACTACCCTTGATTATACAATATTCAATTGATCACCCCCAGGAGACTTCCTGAATGCCGTCTACCAAAAAGAAAAGTAGGGGTAATGCTCAAAAATCCCTTACGACATATTTAATGAAAGCGCACGAGATTTGCAGCATGTCTCAAGATATCACAGAACGAGCATTTCCATCCGGTTCCACACAGGATACCGCAGCGCATTCTTCAGCTCAGGACAGTGAGTACGCACAGCAACTTACAAAGGGGGATTTGGAATCTTGTTTGGGAACTATGTACACCAAGTTAGCCGCTAAATTCCAATCAGAACTCCACAAGAGTACAAACTTCCTCTCTCAAGAAATGGCTACGTTGGGCTCCAGAACTGACCGTTTAGAAACCAAACATGATGAGCTCAGCTTAGCTTATGGCGAGCTGTCCAGAGATCACGATCATCTATAGACGGCCTTTACGCAGCTGCAGGCACAGGTTGAGGATCTTGACAATTGCAACCGCAGGAATAATCTGCGAGTTTGGGGAGTCCCAGAGACTGTGACTGACCTTTCACAGGCCACAACCAAGCTATTCAGGTCCCTCATTCCGGACCACGATACTGGGTCCTTTGCTTGTGATCGCATCCATAGAGCCCTGCACCCAAAACCTCCTAATGATAAAACGCCTCGCAACATTGTCCTATCTATGAATGATTTCCTGATCAAAGAAGATATACTCAGGGCTGCTTGCAATACTTCAATGATCACCTTTGAAGGTTCAACTTTGCAAATATATCCAGATGTCTCTCTGGCTACGTTGGAGAAACACAGAAAAATGAAAGAAATCACATCCATCCTTTTCTCAGCTCATATCTGCTACAAATGGGGCTCCCTCTTTAAGTTGATAGTCCCACACAATGGTAGCACATACATAGCTACATCTCTTCCTGAAGGCTGAGAAATTCTGGCTAAATTAGACCTGGCGGATGCTCCTTCACCTCAACACCCTTCTTCCACTCCTCAATTATCTCCAATTTGGCATACTCCATCTCCACGAAGGGAAAGGAGGAGAGTCAGGCAAGAACCAGGATGAAAGGATTCTGCTCATTTATATGTTATTCACTCTTTGGATGGGTTTTTGGACAAGGCTGCAATCTCTTTATACTTATATATGTATATTAGATTTGATCTCCTTTTCATCTACATGGACGAGCAAAAGTTCAACAAGGGTCATCGGGCCTTTACTTAACGCCCGTATGCTGGTGCTGTAGGACTCTTGGACCCCACCCTGTGCCACCTAGCATGGCTGGAAATGTCACCGCCCAGTTGCGTGGTGGCCGCTCCACTTCCCATGTTTTATGGTGCTTATGGTGTTAATTTTTCTGTCTTTTCAGGAAGGGCTGATAGCCTACCTGATCCATGGTTGATTGCGATTTCTTTAGTTGTAGGGGCTCTTAAAGCTCCAACTCTATTGCTTTATGTTTCTATTTTTGTGAAAATTTTGGTACATGACGTTGTTTATACACCAATTTGTGGACGTCCCAGCCTCCATATTGTGAATTGGATGCTCCATAAATTGGATACTGGCGGGTTTTGCCTTATCTGATGTGGATCTGGATGTTCCATTGACTAGACAAATTTTTTTGGATACTTTTCAGATGAATACCTTAATGCTGATTGATGTGACTCTTGTTTGCCATGGTAATCCAGTGTATCTCACATAATGTCCAAGGTTTCAACTCACCAAACAAGCGTAAAACTGCCTTCCTTCAGTATAAACGCCTAGGGGCAAAAATTATTTTACTACAGGAAACTCATTTTGCAGCCGCTAAACACCTGACATACTTTCATAGATCCAAACAAACAGGGGTTCTACACCTTACACTCCACTAAAAGTAGAGGCGTGGCTATTTTTTTTACACAACTCATTTCCCTTCGATATTTAACATGTTTACGATCGCTAATGTCTATGCACCAAATTCGGCGCAAGCATCCTTTTTCTCCCACTTTTTACAGAAACAATTGAGTACTGACGAAACACTTTTTTTATTTGCACTAACATACAATTTTGAGAACAAGCTTTCGGGGTATGTCCCCTTCTTCATGGTCCAGGCAGTACTACTACACAAAGTTTTAGCAGAATGTTAGAAGAGATGTTGAAAGAGGGAGGAAAAAAAAAACAGAAAGAAACACACACAAACAAATGTATACAGCAATGGTTATAAGACTAGGATTAGACTGGGGATAAGACACAGCAAAGGCAAAGACTGGGGGGGGACAACACTCACAGAGGGGGTCGTAAAACTGTTGGATAATGAGTGAAGAATCCCATGTCCAAATTAAGGCGTTATCTCTTGTTTCCAATTGAATTCTCATTCTTAGTTCAAAAGTGTTCCTTTCCTGAATAGTTTTGAAATTTCCTTTAAGAACTAAAATATTGAGGTCTTCCATAGTGTGGTCTGGTTGTGTGAAATGGTATCCCAAAGGTGTGCAAAAGTCATCTTCTTTATGTTCCTTGATGGTATGTCTGTGTAAATTCATCCTTGTTTGCAACTTCTGTCCTGTTTCGCCAACATAAGATCCTTTGCTACATTTTCTGCACTGGATAAGGTACATAACATTATTAAAAGTGCAGCTGTATGATCTGGAGATATTGAAAATCCCTTTTGAGTGTCTGACACTTTTTGATGGATTAATTTGGTTGTACAATTTGCAGCGTTTTTTATTGCAGGGTTTGCTTCCATTATTTGTGACATCTTGATCAGAAGGAAGTTTCCTACTGATTAGTTTATTTCTGAGGTTGTGGGGTTGTCTAAAAGCCAGTATTGGGGGTTGCTGGAATATTTCTTTCAGAGTTCCATCCTCTGTTATGATGGGTTGTAAATCTTTGATTATTTTTCTTATTCCTTCTAGTGCTCTTCTCCTTCTCCCACTTTTTACAAATTCTTGATGGGTTTCTATCCCCTCATTTATTGGTGGGAGGTGATTTTAATTTGGTAGCTAATCCCCTATTAGACCGAAGCTCGTCCTCACCATCCTCCCAAGCCTTCCCAAAATCCCATACCAAAAGATTAGATACACTTCAACTGCTAGACTCCTGTAGGGCACATAATGTAGGAGCCAGAGATTATTCATTTTACTCCCACCCACATGACTCTTATGCTAGACTAGATTATATCTATTGCTCCCCCATTCTACTAGCTAAATCTAGGAAAGCGTGCATTCACTTAAGCCCCTGGTCGGATCATAATATTATTATCACTTTCATAGGTTTAGCACCCACTCCTTACTCCTGGCGACTTAACAACTCTATGCTTACAGATACTAACTCTCGCCAAGAAAAATAGTCACCTCCATTCAAGAATACTTTCAGTCAAACACAACTCCCGATACCTCTCCGGCCATTTTGTGGGTAGCTCATAAGGTGGTCCTGCGAGGTCACCTCATCTCCATAGATTCTTCTAGAAATAGAGAGCGGTGGAAACAAATTCAGAAACTTATCCGAGAATTGGAAGCACATTATAGAGCCCATGTTGGCAACCCATCTCTCCTTAATAAAACAATGTTATCGCAAAATCACCTAGAACTGAATACTTTACTTTCCCAGAAAACTGAAAAAGCTCTGCGCTGGTCGAAGGCCTCATTTTTATTAAATAGTAACTCAGCCTCTACTATGTTCGCACGGAAATTAAACCACTCTATACGACCCCACAAGTTATGTACTAAATCTGGCAGTATCTCCTCTCTTCCCCATGAAGTTCTGTGAATTTTTGAAAATTTTTATACCGCAACCAACCTCTGGTTTTCCAAATGGCTCACTGCTTGATTCTATACCCCTCCCTGCTCTCACACCCTCTCAGATATCCTCTCTCAATGCCCCATGCACTTTGGAGGAAATAACTTGAGCGATTAGCAGACTAAAAACCTCCACAGCACCGGGCCCTGAGGGTTTACATCCAGTTATTATAAACATTTTGCCCCTACATTGGCTCCCTTTTTGTTGTTCTTATTCAATGATGTTTTGCAGGGAGGTAGGTTTCCTGAGGAGATGCTGTTGGCTAACATGTCTCTATTACCTAAGCCACTAAAAGACCATCATCTACCTCAAAACTATAGACCGATCTCGGTAATGAACAATGACTTGAAAATATTCAGCCGCATTCTAGCTTAGGTTGGCCCCTATTATCTCCTCTTTGGTCTCTCCGGACCAAACGGGATTTATCCCAGATAGACTTATTACGAACAACATTCGTCTCACATTAAATGTTATTCAGGATGCCAATTTACATTCTAAAGAGGTTTTGCTGCTGAGCCTGGACATTAACAAGGCCTTTGATAGTGTCCTCTGGCCCTATTTGTTTCCATTACTGCAGAAGATGGGCTTTAGTGCAGAATTTCTGTCTGGTGTACATGCCTTATACGACTCCCCCAAAACAAGAATAAGACTTCCAGGCTGAAATTCAGATTTTTTTTCACTGGGCAGGGGCACCCGTCTGGGTTGTCCTCTTTCGCCCTTATTATTTGCGCTAGTGTTGGAACCCTTGGCAATTGCAATAAGATCACATTCGGACATTTCTGGTTACCCATTATTGGTTTCACATTTAAAAATATGTATGTATGCCGATGATGTTATGCTTTTCCTTACTAAGCTGTTAGTATCATTGCCTAATTTATGCACAGTGGTGAATGACTTTGCATCAGTATCAGGTCTTACTGTAAATTTCACTAAATCAGTAGTTATTCCTATCAATGTTCCTGAGTGCATCTCTCTGCAGTTCGTTTCCATTTCATTGGGCCACAGATCCAGGGGCGGACTGACCATTTGGAAACTCGGGCACTGCCTGTGGGCCCGGGGTCAGTAGGGGGCCCCATGAGATGCCCCTGGTACCTTTTTCATAGGCTTTTTTGAGTTTGGGCAAGGACACAGGGGCCCCATGATCCCCTATTGCCTGGAGACCCCATGAGTTTTCAGTCTGCCCCTGCACAGATCGGATTTCATACCTCGGTGTTAACGTCACTCCCAGATACTCAAAATTATTTGATGCTAATTACCCACCATGTGTGTCACGCTTCTCTACTCTGTTGAAGATCTGGTATGGATACCCTAACTCATTCTCGGGCAGAGTCATGGCGGTTAAAATGAATGTCTTGCCTAAATTGCTTTACCTATTTAGGGCACTCCCAATCCCTGTCTCGAAAATGTTCCTAGATCGCTTTCAGTGGATGATTAACAATTTTATTTGGTGTAACAAACGTCCTCGTTTTACTTCATCAGTCCTATACTGGTCGCAACGGGCGGGAGGTCTCGGTCTCCCCAATTTCTGGCTTTACTTCCTGTCGGCCCGTTTCGCACAATTATCACAATGGGCAACTATTAACTCCCAGATCCCGTGGATCAGATTTGAGTCTCAGTCTATACATCTATACATCTATTTACCAGGCATACTGTGGTCTAATATTCTCCCCCGCTCGTTGTTGATCCATAATTCTATTGTGGCCCAATCATTGATGCTTTGGTCTCGATATAGACTTAGATTAAATCTGTTCTCCTCTGTCTCTCCAGGTTCATCATTTTTTGGTGACCCAAATTTTTTCCGGCTTTTTAATCTCCAAAGGTGTTCCGTTGGTGGTACGATAGAGCCTTTATTAGGTTATCGGACTTTCAAAGAGGAAGCTCTTATATCACCTTTGAGATGCTACGCATACTTTTTGCTATCCCACTTTGTGAATATCATTATTATCGACAGATCAGACATTTTTTTAGTTCACATTTTGGTCTTTTACCTTCATCTCCGATTTCATTTTTCGAACGTATTAGCCGTGACTCTCCTAAGGGTAGAGGTCTTGTTTCAGATTTGTATCGTCAATTTTTAGTTAGTTCTTTTCCCACATCCCCTCTTTATAGACAAAAATGGTAAACTGATAGTGGTATCACCTTTTCGGATGAGAATTGGGATTCCATGGTGGATAATATATGTAAGAGCTCCAGATCCCTTTCTGTCCGTGAGACAGCCCTTAAGGTATTAACCAGATGGTATTATACCCATCCAGACTACATGTCCTGTATCCAGACACGTCTCACCTATGTTTTCGTGGCTGCGGCCTTGCTCTGGTGCATACATTTTGGGCCTGTTCAGGCCTCTCCCTGGTGTGGCATAGGATCTCGGAGATATCTTCTACATTGCCTGGTGTTCCGGTGCATCTGACTATGCAGTCCTGCCTACTGGGAGCCTATATCTCAGGAGTTCAGACTGAGGTTATGAGGCTAATCCACACCATTTGTATATCCACCCTATGGGCTATTGCCCTACACTGGAAATCACTCACAGTACCATTGGCCTCTGTTCTGCATAGGGTTGATGCTGTGATGCTCACGTAAAGAATTCATTATACTTATTATATTGGACAGGATGCACTTATTCAATAGAAAATGGGAAATTTGGAGAACTCATAGACATTTACTACATGATTAAGGAATACCCATGTTTGGATTGATTGAGTTACTCTGCCAGTAGCTGTATAATTCTGCCTACCTTTCTTTTTATATTACTCATGTACATAAATTCTTTTCTCTCTTTCTCTCTGCTCTTTTCTTCTTTATTCTACATGACTGTACTTTCTGAAAAGTACATTTCAATTTTGCCTTGTTTCTGTTTTACATACCCTTTGAAGCTGTAATGACACCTTACAGTCTATTTCTTGAAAAATAAAATTGTTTGTAAACAAAACTTTGACTTTTATTTTAAAAATTACCCTTTGTTTATTATTTAAAATGTTTTAGCAAACTAAAGGGCCTATTTATAAATGTTTAACGTTAAGACTGTTACAGTTTTCACCCAGGATTCACTAATGAGTCCTATTAGAAGGATGTGTGAATCTTGGATGCTCATCCAGTTAGAGTTTAGATCTACTTTAACCTCTTGCCGGCTGCATAACGCATATATGCGGTGGCAAATGGGCTTTAACGGCCAGCTGCCGCATATATGTATGCACATGATGTGTGCGCCGATCACACTCACTCTACTTGCCAAGCACAATTGACCAAGCTGTGATCAAAGGACCCTGTGATGACTTCTGATCAGGAGCCAGCAGGATGGGCTCCTGACCATGTGACTGCTGTGAGAGCCAATCACAGCAGCTACATATTAGAGGAATCATGCCGCTTTACAGGCAATAAAGCCCATTTAAACAGCTCCTGGGAGACAGTGTTATATATAATATATGTGGGTATAGGATTATAACTTTTTTTTTAATGTTTGAACTGGATGGACTGTTGTCTTTTTTTCAGCCAGAATATGTAACAAAAATAAGGAAATTTCCAAAAAAAGATTGTTCTTTTTTTGCAATATTAAAATGTAAACTATTTTTCAGTATGTCCGGCATCATGCCTCACAGTAGACAACTTCAAGTATTTTCTTTTGTGTGAATCTGTTGCAAAATGTCTTGCCTGAAGATCCTGCCAGTAATAGCGTTTGTTTGAGGCCGACAGTATTTCATGTGACTGAAAGAACATTTATATGAAAATCCACATTCAGAGGTCTTTAAGGAAAAGCCAGATAAACGAAAGAATGTAGTTCCTTTTTCAGTGTGATTGTTGTTCACTGGAGCAGTGGCATACCTAAGGGGGTGCAACCAGCACCCAATACCATAAGTCTGACGGTGCTGCAGGCAGCTGATCAACCTAAATGCCATGTAAACTTTGCTAGTGCCAGTGCTGTAGCTGTTCACATTACACTTTACACTGACAGCTTGGCTACAGTAGCTGCGGTGAGCAGTGGGAGGGAAGAGTGAAGTGATTCACTTCTGGTGCACCATGATGTCACTCCTGTATAATCTCACCCACTTAGGCAAAACAAAGCTGAGGTGGAGGATGTAACAGCGTATACCCAGAGATGGACGCAGTTCAACCATTTGCTTCAACCTCCATCTTGGCAAAGGGATTAACCATCCTGACAAATATATTTCTCCCTCATTCTTCCCCCCTCCCTCTATGGGAGGCCCAGCGACATTTGTCCAGTATGTGTGTGAGTTAGGAATGTCACAGGAGGGTCATAGGAGCTATAAAGCCCCCCAAGGGAGCCAGGGCCTCCCTGTCCAAAGAACCTGAAAATTGTAACACCTTGTAAGAGATAAGGCAAGCTTTCCCAGGAGTTGAAAGAGATTCCAACCTAATAAACCTAACTCAGCGTAGGTGACAGAATCAGATAAACACTTTTCAAAATCCATTTTTCCCTATGTCTCATATCTTGGAATATGAGAGACTTACATAAAACCCGGACCTATCGTCAGATTGGCCACGAGAAGGCAAACAGTTTGATAGGTCACTCGCATTGTCTCGGATACATAGGAAAACAGAAAAGTAGATCTCGTGAACCGTACAGTGTATAATTTCATAATTCATATCTAATCAATCCTCAGACGTGTCTGCATAATAATCTACCCGCGGGTGGAATGTCACTTGTGGAGCTGGAAAGTTATGGGCCAAAATATGAGTTAAGGGAGATTTTGGCTCTAGTTGAGGTATCCACCCATACCTCCACGCCCTAAGCGGGGTATTGGTCCTTGACTTCAGAGACACCCCCTGCTGGGGACTACAAAATAGGCTGTCAGGCCTAAGAGTCGGAGTTGAAGACTTCTCCCATTTTAACATCAATACCAGCCGTGCCCTTTAGCTCTGAAACTTGGATCTGCTAACGCAGGACTTTGGCAAGTACCTTAACCCTTTCACCTCTCTCTGATATCTCTTTGCTGTGCTGTTGGTCTCTGTATGTTTATATATATATATATATATATATATATATATATATATATCTTAGTTACATCTGTTCTGTAAATATTTTTATTGCACCCGTTTGACCTTTTAGTAATAAATCTTTCCTTCTGAAAGTATTGAACTGTTTCTATAGCACTTTATTGCAATTTACGAATTCCTGCCTCTAAAGAGAACGCTACTGTGTTTGTTTAACGATTATCTCAACCATTATAGTGTTTTAGCTGATATTGCCGAGTTTCCTCTTTCTCTGTACAAAAAGGAGGTGGTGGCAGTGTGAAGGGTTAATTGCATAATTAACCTGACCCAGTAACAATTGCTCAGGCTGCCGGTACATCGATTGTGGTCCAATTAGCTGGAAAATCGTTGTGCAGGGTGCAGCTGGGTGACATTGTTATGCACGTGACATCGCGGTTTTAGATCGGCTAGTCCTTCGGTCACGAGTTTGGTGAGAAGGGCTGGGGTATGACGCCACGATCGTGACAGAGGAGATCGCTAGCGGGAGCAAGGTGCAAGGGAGAAGACACAGGGAATCCAATGGGCAAGCCGAGGTTAGGACAGACAGAAAACTAGCAAGGTCAGGAACGAAGCCGGGTCGTACACAGATAGACACCACAGGATACACAGCGGAAGCACACGGGAGCTCCAACAACACGAAGTTGCTGAGGCAAAGTGGGACAGACTGAGCATGTCCTAAATAGACAAGCCAGGTAGGAGGCAGATCAGGAAGTGATGAAAGGAAAGGACATAAAACCCAGGGAATAGCAGACGCCCACATGTGAGCACAGACAAACACACATGTAAAGGAAACAAGAGCAGCAAGGAGGTAAGAGTAAACACACAAGAGGCTGCAAGCTAACTTATGACAGTACCCCACCTCTTACGAGGTCTCCCCACTTTATTAGGACCAGGTTTAAGGGGAAACCTCTGATGAAACAATTCCACCAGACGGGTTGCAGAAACATCAGTAGAAGGAATCCAACACCTCTCTTCAGGACCATATCCCTTCCAGTCAATTAGATACAAGAGCTTCCCTCTGATGAATTTAGAATCCAAGATTTGCTTGACTTCATACTGATCCGAAGTACTCACTATTGGGGAAGAATGATGATGAGGACGGGAAAATCTGTTGATATACGGTCTCAGAAGAAAAACATTAGGGATTGTCAGATGTGAAGGGAGGCG